GAAAGGGATTGTCCAACACGCTCAGCAGTGCCCCCAACAGAAGCCTGTCAGGGGGTCAAAAAGAAAAACTCACTCATCCTGACAGTACCTTCCCAAAATGAAGACTGCTCTGCAGATGCAATAGCACCAAAGGTTCTTCAGGGTTTTTCCCCCCAGGGGTCACATTCATGGATTTAAAATGGGAGTGTTCTGATACACTGGCAGAGTTGGCGTACGTCGACCACACATCTGCCTAGTCTTCAAATTAACGCTCTATTATGACAGCCCTTTCCCGAATATCTCACAATTTCTCATTCCCATTCCTTTCTCATTAAAAAAAAAAAGAAAGAAAGAAAAAGCACTCATCACTCACATCCTCTGTACCAAAAGAGAATAGAATATCTAAGGACAGGTAAAGAAAGAAGGTAATGACCAGAAAGTGCAAGCATGCGTGCATTCGTGTGTATGTTCTAGGTCTGCAGTTACTCTCAGAGATATAGTTTGAGGAAAAGAGCGTACTGGCAATCATATAGTAAAAGTTTTTTCACCCCTCAAACTCTGGCAGGGGAAGTCATTTGTGATTAGTAGTAACAGTCTAAGCCTAAGCCTGTAATTAATACAGTTTCAAACCCTACCAATAAGCTGTAGCATAAAGATGGCCATAAATGTGCTATCACTCTAAACTACCATAGCTCAAGTTTAATCTCAACACCACTATCCACCCCTAAAAACTACTAGTGTATGTAAAATTATTGGGCCCACTAAAGAGTGCTGTCAACATTTAAGATATCAGAAATTGAGTTATTTAATATTGACTTTTTAGGATAAAAAATAAGTCATTACATATTAAAGGAAACAATACATTTTACACAAAAAAAAATATTTTCCAAAACATGAATGCAGAGGCTGCCATGGCTTTATTTACTGGTTGTTCTAATAAAGGAAAACCTCTCCGTGCTGGTACATCAGTCTATTGTCCCATTTTATTTTGATTAAAGTAAAGAAGATTAAGCCTCACACAAGGAGACTTTTTCTTTCCTTTTGGGGTCTACATATGCGCATGGTGTATGTGTGAGTATATGTTTGTGAATATACATGTGTGTGTGCAGATGTGCATGCACACCTGCACACATGCATGTGGAGGTCAAAGGTCAATGTCTTGTGGCTTCCTCTATTACTTTTGTTTTGTTTTTCAAAATAGGGTTTCTCTGTGTAGTTTTGGTGCCTGTCCTAGATCTTACTCTGTAGACCAGGCTGGCCTCGAACTCACAGAGATCCGCCTGGCTCTGCCTCCCGAGTGCTGGGATTAAAGGCGTGCGCCGCCACCGCCCAGCCCCTCTGTTACTTTTTAACCTTATTGAGACAAGTTCTTTCACTGAACATGGGTCTCATTGACCTGCTGGGCTGACTGAGCAGCAAGCTCTGGGGATCCTCCTATCTCTGCTCCCTCCCACTCCCACACTAGGTTACAAGTGCGTACCACCAGGCTTTTTACCCAGGCGCCAGAGATCTTTGCTCAGGTCCTTATGCTTGTTCAGAGAGCGCTCTGCCCACTGAGCCTTTGTCCCGGCCCCCAATTGGCCTCTCTAGATAACTACAAACATTTTTCTTTGGTAGTTTCTTAAATGTTTGTAGCCATATAGAATCCTGTAGCACACACTGATGAAGGTTTCCTACATCAAACCTATTGCTCTGCTGGACTCACAAAGATTTTGAAATACTGAGCACTAGTCATCTGGAAAAATGAGTTATGTAAATACATCAATTATTGAAATACTTAATTATATACTTCAAAAAAATATTTCCATGAATATTACCACTCATATAACCAAACTCTCATGTTCGTGTGACAAATACATATTCTCCAAAATTCAGATGTTCCTTTGAAAGTTCAAATTCTATCACAGGGAACAGATACTACCAGATCTGTTCCTAGAAGTAACATAATCGTTTTCAAGAAAATGTCTGCCAAATATCCCAAGTTGAACAGCCACAGTCTGTCAGTTGTTTTTTCAAATAAAGATGGTCTTCCACGAAAAGAGCATCTTGTTCAACTCTCAATTCCATCACCCATGTGTTCCTTTGAAAGACAGCCATCAGCACTGGTACACCGCAGAAATACCCAGACAAACAGCCCACTGAAGATCCCACCAGCCTGGGAAGGTCCACACTGTAGGGAAGAGATTCCAAATGCCACAGCATCTGCTTCTTCACCAAAGGCATTATTAAATGCAGTTGGCTTTAATCTCTCTCTCTCCCTCTCTCTCTCTCTCTCTCTCTCTCTCTCTCTCTCTCTGTGTGTGTGTGTGTGTGTGTATGTGTGTGTGTGTTCTCTCCTTCCACCATGCAGGTCCCAGGGATTGAACTTGGGTCATAGGGCTTGACAAAAAGTGCTCTTACCCTCTGAGTCATCTTTCCAGACCCCAGCTGGCTTTTGCTTTTGTTTTTAATTGCACATGAGCAATATTAATGTCTATAATGTCATAGTTTTTTTCCCACTCTGTGATTCATGCTGAGGGGTCAGAGTTTTAGAGTTGTTTTGGCAGCATCGATGCATAATACGGTGAGTCAGGTAATCATCACATCTTAGTTCTAACAGAATATTTCAGTCTTCAGACCCCCACCTCCAAAGGTCTCAGACATTGCCAGTCACCTGCATTCCCTGAGAACCACTGCTCCACAGAGAGCTTATAGATTTTTCATGACTGCTTAGAAATGGAAAAATTACCCCTCATTCTGTCTCTGGAATAAAATACATGTACAATGTACATAAGCCAATGTGTGAATCTGCTGAGTGTAGAGCTAGGCCTTCTAGAGAGAGTGTGGTAGGTTACTGGAAAGCTTGGCTATGTCTCGAGAGAATGGGGAAAGGAGCTGGTTTGTTTTAGTCTTATGGTGCTTGCTGGATGGTGGCATTTGGGTAAGGGTTCCTATACACAGATCATGAGTCTAAACATCCTACCAGCACCAGAGTGGCATAACTGATCCTTGTTACCTGCTCACACAGGTGCTGGGTACCAGAAGGGGAGTGGTGGAACCCAAAGGCTGTCCGCAGTGAGCATAAAAATTGACCCATACTCTCTGTTACAACACATAACTTTTTATCTCTTTAAATAATAGGACTTAAATCCTGAGCTTCAGGCATGATACACACACAGTCTACCACTCAACTCTATCAAGCCACAGTACCTCATCTTCAAAGAACTCTTTCTCTTCCCTCAAGCCCAATGTCCCTACTCCTGATGGCCTCCTGGAGCTTATGGTTTCAGACATGGTACGCAGCTGACTCACTTATGGTTGAAGAGCATTAGCAGCCTGCTTATCATCTGTTAGGAGATACGCTTCCTGACCAGAGGGTTTTCATCAGTACTGCTACGCATTTTGTACAGGTTACACATACTCACCTGTGCTCAGCATAGTGTCAATGCTCCAAACTATTTTCAGTGAATGATACAAGTATATATACATATGTATTAGTAAACAAACCACTAGTGAATGTGTCTGAGGACTTCATGATACAGATGTGTTTATCACCAGTGGCATGGAAACCCACTGGAAGACTATTTCTGTGAGTATAAAGGCTCTCTGTACTAGTGCTATTGTATACATAGCTGTGAACACATGGATAAAGGTGCCTTTGCACCATCAGTCTCTAAACCAGAGTGTGGTAGTGAGACGGCTAATGAAAGAATCAATGACCGAGATGAATAAAAGCTCTGATACACTGTGCATTAAATAATCAGCTTCTCAGACATTCCAGCCCTCAACAGGGTC